AAAAAGAAATTATTTCAATATTCATCAAATGTTCATAACTATGCTAGAAAGGACCAAACAAGGTAATAGCAGAAATACTATTACACTAAAATCTAGTAATGCTGATAAAATTAATCATGTAAGTAAAACCAATTTCGGATGTTAATATTCTAAGACGAATTTTCTTAAATTTAAGAACAGATGAGGGCTGGGGTTGTTCGGTACAGCGCTTGCTAGCATGTGCGAGGCCCTGGGTTCGATCCTCAGCATCACATAAAAATAAATAAATTAAAGGTAATGTGTCCAATTACAACTAAAAAATAAATATTAAAAAAAAAAGAAGAACAGATGAAAGAACAGCAATTTTCTAAGAACAAAAAGAAGTATGGGTGGGCTGGGGATGTAGATATCCAATAGAAGAGTGCTTGCTTAGCATTCATAGAGTCCTGAATTCTATCCCCAGCACTGCAAAAACAAATAAAAAGAAGTACAATATTCATTCAAGAAGAAAAGATTTCCTCACACAATGATTTGTGACAAGAACATGTGTTGTTTTTCTGAAAGAATGTATCACAACAGTATCACTTCATCTTGCTTGTTTCTGGGCCCACATTTACTTGACAAAGTCAGAGTAAGGGAAAGGGATCGCGAATGGGAAAAAAGATATAATGAATTGGACTTAACTTTCTTTTGTTCATACATGAATACACGACCACTGTTACTCCACATCATATACAACTACAAAAATAGGAAGTTATACTCCATGTACATACGTTATGTCAAAATACATTCTACTATCATGTATAACTAAAAAGGACAAATAAAACATTTTTAAAAATAGGCAAGACAACCAGTTGAACAGAATAGAAGACACAGAGACAAATCCACATACCTACTACAGCCATCTGATATTTGACAAAAGTGCCAAAAATATATCCTGGAGAAAACATAGCTTTTTAAACAAATCGTGCTAGGAAAACTGGGAAATTATATGTAGAAAAATGAAATTAGATCTCTCTCCCTCACAATGCACAAAACTCAAATCAAAATCTATCAAAGACTTAGTAATTAGATTAGAAATGGCAAATGCTAGAAGACAAAAGAGGGTCAACACTCCATCATACAGGTGCTAGTACTGACTTCCTTAACTGACTTCCCCAAAGCACAAGAAGTAAAACTAAGAATCAATAGATGGGATGCCATCAAACTAAAAAGCTTCTGTACAGCAAAGGATATGATTAAGAGTGTGAAGAGAAAGCCTATAAAATGGGAGAAAATCTTGGTTAGCTACTCTTCCAATAGGAAATTAATATCTAGAATATTCATAGAACTCAAAAAACTTAACACTAAAAACATAAATAACCCAAACAATAAATGGCAAAGGAATTATATAGAACATTCTCAAAAGAAACACAAACAGCCAACAAAAATATGGAAAAATGTTCACCATTTTTAGGAATCAGGGAAGTGCAAATGAAAATCACACTAAGATTTTGTGTCACTCCAGTCAGCATGGCAATGATCAAGAATATGAACAACAATAAATGCTGATTAGGTTGTGTGAGAAAAAGTACACTTGTACACTGTTGGTAAGACTGCAGATAGTACAAACATCTGGAGAGCAGTATGGAGATTCCTCAAATGAAAAGGGATAAAACCACCAAATGACCCAGCTATCCCACTGTTTGGTATTTTCCCAGAAGAGCTAAAATTGGCACACTACAGTGATAGTCACCTCAATGTTTATAACAGCACAATCCACAATAGCTAAATTATGGAATCAACCTGGATACCTGTCAATAGATAAATGAATTATGAAACTATGATACACACACACACACATGCACACACAAAATGGAGTTCTGCTCAGCCACTTCATTCAGAAAAGAATAAAATTATAGCATTTGCCAGTAAACGGATAGAAATGGAGAATATCATACTAAGCAAAATAAGCCAAACTCAAAGTCAAAATTGAATATTTTATCTTAAATGTGAAAGCTAGATTAAAATAAAGGAAAGGGGAAGGGAGGGACAGGATAATACAAAGAACTAATCAAATATAAATTAATAGAGGAGCAAAAGGAAGTCAAGTAGAGTATAGGAAGGACAATGGGAGGGGGAAAGGAGGTTGGGAAGGAAAAGGAGGGAGATCATGAACTGATATTAATTTCCAGGTGTGTATGAGTTTGTTGGGATGAACCCAACTATTACATACAACTATAAATCTCTAATTTAAAAAAAAGTTAGGAAAAGCATTATCAAAGCAATATATGCATATAATTTTAAAAATCAAACAGTTCAAAAGGGCACCATGACAATCAATCAATAAATTCCTGCTTCATTCTTCTCATTTCTCAGTTTGCCAAACTGGACATAAAACTTTCCACATGTGTTTATATTTAGTTATTCTGGTAGTTAACAACACTTTCCTCATAAGTTTTCCTTAGTATTTCTTTGCTTGTTGATCTGAGGCACTTTCTGTTGACTCCTGACTATTTCCAGCCTTTCTCCTCTCTCAACAAAGCCATCTCACCATTTTAACCTACTTGTTGGTTATCTTGGTTACTTTAATAATATTAAAACCTGTATTTTATTCTGTTAATCACAGGAAGAATTCTCCACTTGCTGATTTATGAGGATGGTAGCACCACTGCCACTTTTATGTACATTTCTTTTCCCCTCTGCCTCGAAAACTTTTAACTGCCTTTGTATATAGTCAAGGTTGCTAACATTTGCATTCTATTCTGTAATCATAATTATTTCTTCCATGCTTTAACTAAAGATCCACTCTGAAAGCTGAAAACCAATATGTACATTAGTATGACTAGTATTTAAATACAGTTCAGTGAATAGCAAGTTTTATGCTGTGATTAGATTTTTCTCATTTATTTCTTAAAAGGCTTCACCCATAAGCAAGGGTCCTACTCCCAGCAATTGCTCAAAATCATGGCACAACCCATGCTTACTTTTTTTCTAGTTTGAAATATTTCATTTTCCCCTAAAATTTCTGTCACTGCTGTTTTTGAAAAGAGTGGGGAATTAAGAAGTGTATTCTTCCCATGCAACCAACCTGTTGCTAATCTCCCCCTCCTTTTTGCTCAATCCATCTATTAAAATATATTTCATTTAGCTTCAGGCCTACTCAGTTCCTATTCTAATTTAGAGGATCTGCCTTCCATCTGCACCATTAAAGAAAGATAAATTTTCTAAAAGTTTTAGTTGCATTTCCCATCCTTATTTTTTTTAATGCATTCTATATTCTTTTTCATCTTGTAAAGTTCATGCTTGTTTTTATGGACATAATAGTTTCTTAACTATTTGGGTATTTTAATACCTTTAGGTTCTCTTCATTGAATTATATACCTTGAAGAGTTAGTTTTTCATTATTTCTTAGGGTTTTCTGCTAATATTGCAGGCCATTAACAAGTGGCAAATTTTTTGCCAGAAAAAAAATCTGTAGGCAGGGCTAGTCACTTTGCTCAAGGATGGGTGAGCCAGTAGTTGGGCCATGCAGTAGATGACAAAAAGTTCGTAGTGATTCTAACTATGTACAGCAATGTTCAGGCAGAGGTTGAACATCAATGTAGGTGAAGTTTAGGATCATCCTGGCAGCCAAGCAGAAGAAGGTAGATAGTGTGTATAAAGAATGCTTCCCCGACTAGCCTTTCTAAGGTGGCTGAACTAAAGTAACCCTGAAGTATTCTCACTCTCAGCATTCAATGTGTTTTCTTCATGCAGGAATTGATAATGTATTTCTTGTTCTGTTGTTTATTTTGTTATGGTTTGTATGTACTGCTACAGTGTAGAAAACTCTACGAAGATAAAGCCTTTGCCTATCTTGTTCACTGCTACGTATATAATACACATAGTAGTAAATGAATAAATGTTTTCTAAGAAAGAAAGGGATAAACACATATTCCTCAGAATCAATTCCATTAACAAATCTCAACTCTACTATAATAAAAAGAAAATTCAAATCGGCATAATAGATGTATATGCTATAATATACTAATGATATTGCAAAGTCCTAATTTTGCTTAATGTTTACTCTTCTATACATCCATATGTATATACATACATACACACACACACACATACAAGTATACAAGCACATTATTGTGAAGGCAATACAACATTTCTTTCTAGATTATGAAGAAAACACTAGTGTATATAAGTTGTCCAAAACAATTCCAAAAAAGTCATTCAATTATATCCCCAAGACTCATAAATGGAAAAATTTCAATGTTATTTAGTCATTAGCAAAATCATTGATAACTGAATGTGAACCTCAGAAGGTTCAGTAAACCTGCCAAGCGTGCACCGATTGTCAGTAGTACCAAACAAGATCTGTGACTTGGAAACTGCCCATTGCTGATTCAAGGAAAACATGTTTTCCTGGGATCTAAGAAAATGAAATCTGGTGCCACCAAAGTGGGCTATCTTCTTTGTCTACATGGTAGAAATTTCTCAGAATGCAAACCTTCACCTTTTATTGTCATTTTCTATATTCTCCCTAAAGCTTCCTACATGCTTAATAATTTTCACCACCATCTTCATTCCAACAGCTACAAAGTCTTCAAAACCAATCCACATCTCCTGAGATCCAAACCCTCATTTCTAAGGAATTAACTGATGTAATCAAACTAATAACATTAATCCTTGCTTCTCAAATCAGCTCTTCCTTCTATAAGCCATAATGGTATCAGCATCTTCTCAATCAAGCAGGCCAAGAGCCAGGAAGTGACTCCCTCTCCTCTTTCTTACTAATCCAACACCTTCCCAATCAACTAGGCAAGCCCAATTGACGTCATCTCCTTAAAATTCCTCATCTATCGCTCTATTTCCCCATCCCCTCTTCTAGACATTCAAAGGTATCTAAGCATCTGGATTATTATTTAACAAAAGTAAAAGAAAGGAATTTAAAGGAGTTTGCACTAATATACACAAAAAGACAAAGTTCATAAGTAAACTAATCTATCTTATCAACATCAAACTCAGCTAGTTTTAAAAAAGGGACTTACTTAAAAGGTGTAAACAAAAATGGTAAAGTAGTTTCTTTTTTCTGAGTCATTTTCACCTGGGAACCAAGCACAAAAATATTTTTATTACATTATAAATATTAAAAAATTAACTAATTTCATTTGGAATACAAATATCCATTAAAATGGTTCTTCAGAGATGGTTAACTACTTTGAAATAAATGGAATTTTGTGTTACTATATAGTTTCATGCATATTTTTAAAAATTTGACACTATCTTACCTATCTCAATATGCTGAGAATCATATTAATCCTGAAAACATAATATGCTGTAATGTAATTAAAATTGTATTTATTAACTTTTTGAAAACAAAACCTGCCAAAGTTTTAATCTGAATCACCTCATTAGGTTGTAAGGTATCTAACAATGTATGTGAAATGACAAGAAATGTTACATCTTTAATACTAACTTCTGTGGGGCAAATTCTAGTCATAAAGATCAACTTGTAGTTGTTACAAGTGTAGGTGGTAATTTATAATTAGAGACACTCCTCAAAGGCAATTCTACACCCTTTGACTCACGGAACCAGCACCTCAGAAATAACACTAGGCAAATACAGAAAATTTAGAGATAATGAGTTGTAGGAAATATTTAAAACAACATGAAATACCTCACTTAATATGTTCAATTTTTAAATAACAGTATTATGCATTTTTGTTTCTCTCTTTTTTTTTTTACCTTGAACTGTTCAAGAATCTGTACTGCATTTGTAAACATGCTTTCTGCTTTGAAGAGATCAGTATTATTAAGATATTCCACAGGAAGGATTCCCTGCAAATAATAAATATAGGCCTAATATTAGTATTAGTAAAACTCAGGCTACTCTTATAAAAACAAAACAGACTTAAGAGGGAAGCAAATATAGACAAGATATACAGTCAAATAAATCACTAACAAAGAATCTTTTATAAAACCATAATCGAAATATGTTGTCATTTTTCTCACAAATTGCATGTTATTTTTCTCACAAATTATTGAATTAAAGTCAATATAACCTAACACTAAATTATTACTGCTATGGTTTAGATCCTAAATGTCTCCTAAAGGCCCATGTTTTAAATGCTTGGTCCCTGATGCTATTGGGAGGTGATAAAAACGTTTAAAGGTGGGGTCTAGTGGAGGGTCTTTGGATTTACTGGGGGTATAATCTCAAAAGAGGATTGTAAAACCTCAGTCTTTCCCTTCCTCTCTCTCTCTCTTTTTCAAATATTTTGTTTTAGTTGTAGTTGGACACAATACTTTTATTTTATTTTTATGTGGTGCTGAGGATCAAACCCAGCACCCGGCATGTGCTAGGCAAGCACTCTAGCTCTGAGCCACAACCCCAGCCCCTCCCTTCCTCTTTTTGTTTCCTGGCCATGTGGAAACACTTTGCTCTGCCATGTATTTCTACTATTATACCACCATGGACTGAAACCTCTAAAACTGGAAGTCAAAAAAATACATAAAACAAGAAGGAAAATTAATTAATTAATTAATATAAATTTGAAACAAAATAAATTGTTTTCTCTTTATAGGCTGACTACCTCAGGTATTAGAATGAAAAAAAGAAGACTAATACAATTACTATACGCTAGGCAGTGAATTAAATGTCTTGTACATAAAAACAAATCAATATGGTTGGCCACAGCTTGCATACTTAAAAATAATAATAATAAGACATACCAGAGTATACCATACATTTTAGAAGTAAAGACTGTTTTATACAATCTTATTTCATTTATATACACCACACACTCATGACTGTCAGGGTCATATTACTCAAGAGTTTTGAGTTATATGACATTATTTTTAAAGTAAATTTGATTTTTTAGAGCTAATAAAAGTGGATGGAATGAGTATTCTTGGTTTCTTTTTGGCTTTTCAACATACATGCACATTAACAACAGCATTATTAAGTATTTAAATTAAAATTACATAAGTATTACTAAGTAATTTTCCTCAAGGGATATAACATGGTGGTTCTATAATCAGTGGGGAAACTCAAGAATTAGGCAAATAACTTGGGCCGGATCATGTATAGTTTAAATCTTGAGCATCAAGCAACAGAAACTAAAACAGGTATAATGCTACCCATTCTCTACCTTCCTCTAGTATTGGTACCATAAGCAGAACAGTCCTGCCATGGGACTGTGGTTGTGGTTCCTTCTTGTAAGTCTCCAGAGCTCCCTTGGTTCTCAGTAATTTTAAAGCCTGGTGTTTGAGCATCCCTGCGATTCAGCAAGCCATCAAGACATTTTTAAAAATTTCCTTTTAAATGGACTCAGTCTCTGCTGCTTATTACCAAAAAGTTATTCATATATTTTTATCACTTGTAACTAGAGTACATAGATATAAATCATATGTATTTTAGAATATGAAAAATGTTAAAGCTATTGAGTGTGTCCTCCATGTTATAAAATACTATAAACACACAATTGTAAAGTATTACATGTTTAGAAATAAATATATAAAAATGAACAGTTTTTAAATCTAATTAAAGATTACACAAATGGAAAATACTGGGGAATGATATTGGTCATATTATATGGTTATATTGTGTGTCTACAAATGTGTAACAAATCTTAATATTATGTACAATTATTACAAATATGGAAAAAATAAAGATTATAAAAAATACAGAAGAATAAATTTTACTGTGCAATTTTTAAAATGCTGAGTATTAATAATAAAATCTTATTTCCTACCACTGAATTAAGGGGAAAGGGAACTCCAATAAGAGAAGCCATCAATGGTGCAATATCAGCCTACAAATAGAAAAAAAAAAATCAGTTCTAAGAAGTCTATGGATGTAAACATAGAAATAATTTAATCCAACTATATTGTTAAAAATAATCATGATTGTTATAACCAATTACCTTTAAACATTCAGTTAATACACAAAAGATGTTAATCCCTTAAAATGTCATTTGCTAAAAATGAACTTCTGAAATAATAAATTTGAAAAGTAAACATTAAGTCCTCAGTGCAAACACATGAAAACAACAATCACTTATTATATTAGCTAAGATAACCTGATCATTTTACCCCAGTTTTTCAGTATTATGCAAAAGAATGCCTTAACTAGTAAGAAAATATACAGCAAAGACAATAACTACAGAAAAGTGTACAGAACTAAAGAAAGCAAGTATCTTACTTACTATTCAACTGTCTTTAATAAATACCCTCTTCCCCAAACTGGAAATCTCTAAAGTCCTCCTAATTTCCCTTTTGTCCTCTCCCAGAATCTACTATTGGCCTCCTCTAATCTGTTCATACAGCACCTAGAGGAATTCTTTCACTTAAATTTGAATCATTTCATTCTCAAGGGCTTCAAACATTTCTAGAACTTCCCCAACTTTCTACATCCACAGTACCCATAAGGTGCCACAGGATCTGTGCCTATCTTCCTCTGCTCCATACCACACTGCCATCTATGGCTCTGCACACTAGCCTTAACAATTTCTTACACACCAAGTACCTTCTTACAGAGCTCTGTGCAAATGTTTCCCCTTTGCCTAGAAAGTCTTCCTGCTATGCCTTGAACTCATAATTCCTACTTATTCTTTAACCTCAACTCAATCCTCAATTTGAAACTTTTGCTGACCAACACAGTTGATCACATCCATCCACTATTTGTTATTATGGCTTTACAGGTCTCTTCTATAGTATTTAATACAGCTATAATTCACATTTATTTGTATACTAATTTGATTAGTATCAGCTCTCATCTCTGACATATAATTTTCCCAGGGAGAGATTGTGTTCACTTTTACTTATCATTATATCCTTCCAATTAGCATAAAATGTAAAACACTGTAGGCATGTGACAGTGTTGATTAAAGGAATGAACAGATTCTTATCTAAGTAGATATGAATGAAGCAAGAGTTTGACAGCAGACTGAGTATTTAGATAGCAGTAACTGAATATATGTTCAATTTCAGTTATGATCCAGTCTGGCTATAAGAAAAATATGTTCTAGTTTTGTGTTTTTCCAACTTTGACAATGGTTTTCAAGTGTGTGTACATGCACACGCGCATTTGTGTATTTATTTATCAATGGACCTTTATTAATTTATATGTGGTGCTGAGAATCAAACCCAGTGCCTCATACTTGCTAGGCAAGCACTCCTCCACTGAACTATAACCCCAGCCCAACAATGGGTTTTTAATTGTAAATTAATGAATAGATATTCTGATTTCATAATTGTCATTTACTTAGTTAATATGCATCTATTTTGAGATCATAAAATAAGAAACCTTCCTGTTATGCTGACAAGAGGCCTGAAAGTGGGAGCCCAGACCTTGGTTTGTCTACCACAGTAAGGAATGTAAACTTATGCATGATATGGAAGGCAAGATACTCCTGCCACTTTGGAAGCTACATCATTGTATCCCATGTCTTCTACAAATAGTGAAAATGGCTCTCTAAGTAGCATATTCTAAACAATGACAACTGTGTGTTTCATATTTACAGATGCCACAAGTCTAACTTTATTAGGTTGTCCACACACTTTCCTATAACAGAAAGTTTATAATTGAGTAATTTACACTCTCATTATTTTTTCTCATTACATTTGTAAGGATGGTGGTTAAGTAAAAAATCAAAATATAGTTAAAGGCAAAATATATGTTAAAAAAGAAATGGTAACAAACACAATACAGAAAAGAAATCCCTAATAGATCTGTATTCAGAGAAAACAATGAAACTATAATAAATCATCACAGAAATATAACAATCACGAAAATTCTAACTGATATAACATGAATTATCCAGTGTTATTTGGAGTGAGCTTTCTTTTATTGTCACTTGGGATTTTTAAATATTTTGCCAAGGAGAGATTAGTTGGGCTAAAATATTTGCATTGAAAGTATTCTCTTTAGTTTGGAAATGTTTTTGGAAAATCTTTTGTCATTCTTATTAATAGGCCTACTTTTCATATTTTTCCCCTTTCCCTTACCTGCTTGATCCCTGGTCTACTTATCTTTCTTTGATTCCTCCCCACCCCCACCCCTTTTATTATCCTTTCTCCTCTCCAGCTTCCACATATGAGAGAAAATATACAACCCTTGATCTTCTGAGTTTGGCTTGGTTTGCTTAACCTAATCTCAAATTCCATTGTTTTCCTGCAAATGACAATTTCATTCTTCTTCATGGCTGAATAAAATTCACTGTGTATATATATGCCAATTTGTTTATCCATTCATCTACTGACCTACAGTAGTTCTACAGTTTGGCTAATATGAATCGTGCTGCTATAAACATGGGTATGCAGGTATCACGATAGTATGATGGCTTTAATTCATTAGGATAAATACCACCAAGTGGTATAGCTGGGACTATACTATTTTATTCTAGTTCTAGTTTCTATTTCTAGACTTTTTTCTGGTCCTGCGAAGAACATCAGTGGTATCTGATGGGGACTGCATTGAATCTGTTTATTGCTTTTGGTAGGATGGACATTTTAACAATATTAATTCTGCCTATTCATGACCATGGAAGGTCTATTCACTTTCTTGTGTCTTCTTTAATTTCTTTCCTCAGTGCTCTAGGTTTTCATTATAAAGGTCTTTCTCTTTCTTGGCTAGATTTATTCCTAGTTTTTGTTTTTGAGACTACTGTAAATGGAATTATTTTCCTAATTTCTTTCTCAGTATTTTAATTATTAGTATATAGGAAAGCAACTGGTTTTTGTATGTTGGTTTTGTAACCTGCTACTTTGCTGAATTTCTTTATTAGCTTGAGCAGTCTTTTGGGGAAGTTTTTTTCAGTATTATAAGTATAGGATCATATCATCTTCAAACAATAAAAATTTGACTTTTTCCTTTTCTATTTTTATCCCTTTTATTTCTTTCCATTGCCTTACTGCTCTGGCTACAATTTCTGGTACTGTATTAAATAGAAATGGTTACAGTAGTCTTGTTCCAAATATTAAAAGAAATGCTTTCAGTTTTTCCACATTTACTACAATGTTGGCTTTCAGTTTTTTACATAGAGCCTTTATGATGTGGAAGTAGATTCCTTCTATCCCTAGTTTCTTCAGTGTTTTTGTCATGAATGGGTGCTGAAATTTGTACGTTTTTTTTTCTGCATCTATTAAGAAGACCAAGTGATTTTTGTCCTTAATTCTATTTATGTGATGGATTACACCTAGCTTTGCATATGTTAAACCATTCCTGCATCACTGACAAAGAATTTGGTCAGGATATACTTTCCTCTTAATATGTTGTTGAATATAATTTGATGTTTTATTAAGGATTTCTTTATCTAAGTTCAATAGGAATATTGGTCTGTAGTCTCCTTGATATGTCCTTCTCTGGTTTTGGTATGAGTGTGTGTGTGTGTGTGTGTGTGTGTGTGTGTGT